CAAATTCATTTAACTTAATGTACTTTAAAAACAAAATTTTAAGCAGACATTGAATATACCATTAATAAAATGACCGCATCATAACAGAGTACGTTATATACGAATGAGACACCAATAATAACAAACATATTGATTATGTCATCAAAAAAAGGTAAATTAATGACAATTTAAATGCAATTAAGTGTAATGCAAATGAGCATGGTCATTCATTGGATATATCACACCATTTAGGTTACTCCCAGTCGGGGGGCTATAGACGAGACGGCGGCGGCGGCGGAGGCAGTGGTGGCCCTAATAAATGTTTTAATTGCAACAAAACGGGTCATATGAGCCGCGAGTGTCCCGAACCGGACAGACGCCGCACCGGTGGAGGTGGCGGTACTGGTGGTGACCGGCGGCCAATTACCTGTTTTAAATGCGGTGAATCGGGTCACATGGCTAACAACTGTCAACAACGATCCAGTGGTGGTCGTGACGGTGACCGCGGCGCCGGGCGTAGTGCTGGTGGCGGTGATTATCGTAGACCCGAGTCGTCCACTAGTGGTCGGCCATCACAACCCGCGCAACAACAGCAACGACCAGCTCAACGTAGAGGTAGTTATAGACGCAGTGGTTCTCATATTGATGCAGATTCTGGTCGTTTGCCCGCAAAGAGGGCCAATCACTCAGGCATGAGATGACACACTCGAGAGACTAACTCTAACCATACGTAGTCCACCATCTAATCCATCGCTCACACCATCTCATACTAATCTAGTTCATTTATACTTAACACCCAACAAACTGATCCATATGTCCACCTCTAACCCACATTTGTTTTCTCCATAACAGAAACCCCGTATATTCCCGATGAGAGGCCGAGCAGAGCGAGCGCACAGTTTGTCCGCCGCCCCGACACCGGCACTAAAGGCATGCGAATTGAATTAATCGCAAACCATTTCCGGCTATTGATTAAAGACATAGTCGTGAACCACTATCACGTGGAGTTTGAATGCGGCGCCCGAACCCTGGGTCAGGCGGTCGCGTCCGGTGGCGGCGATGCCGGAGCCGATCGCGAGTCCAAAAATAAAGTTCGTAAATTGCGGCAAAAGGAGAATCGGCAGGTGTTTCGCGAGTTCATGTCTAATCAGCCGCAGCTCTTCCGCGACCCGCAAACTGGCGACCAATTGTTGCCCGTATTTGACGGCAATTCTAATTTCTACACTAAAGGCCGTCTGTCTCAGGACGAGAACACGTGTACTATTCAAGTGGCGATCGACGGCTCCAATCCGGTCAACGTTAAAGTGACCATAAAATACACGCAACCCATAGATTTGAGCTCAATTAACCTTTACTATGACGGCCAGTCCGATACAGTGCCCCGCGAAACACCTGCCGATTCTCCTTTTGCCGCAATTTACGAACTTTATTTTTGGACTCGCGATCG